ACTCCTTAGATATTGTCTTAAATTTCCGTCCTATGGTTTCCCTCACCAAATATTACTTCCTAATCCATTTTGTCGCATGCAAGTGTAGTTCCTTTGTACATTAAGCTAAACAAGAGAATGGTCAGAGAAAACGGAATGCTTTATTGCACATAAAGTTTCAAGAAAGACAAAGGTAGACTAATAAAGATAACATATCCATATTCTACCTTGCTCAAATGGGCAACGGGCAGGGTCCTCACCAAAATATAGTGCAAGTGCATCTGCATTTCTACCCTGTTCACCATAGAACAATGATTGAGACATGATTGCCAATGACATGATAACTAAGTTTAAGAATCAAACAGATAGAAGAAAATTACCACCACAGAATAGAGATTTGTTACAGATGCCACCTCCGTCTCAGCAATAGAAATGAATCCTTTCAGTGTCTGTTTTTTTTGGGGGGGGCGGGGGGGTTTGCATAAAGAAGTTATAAATGGATAAATGTTAGCATCCATTGAAAAGAAAATCCAGAGAAAAGAGACCTATAAAAGGTTTCTCTGAAACATAAGAAGCAGTGCTACTTAAAAAAAACAAAAAACAAAAGAAAAGAAGAACTATAAGCAAGCAGCGAACAATGTGTCTTACTTCTATAGTGATAACTACAGGAAAGATTGTTGGGTACTCAGATGCTTTAGGGTTCAATATCAACTTTTTCTTATAAGTGGAGGCTTCAATATCAACAAATATTAGATTAATGTTGTCAGAAATACTCCAGCTCCATTTGCATATAAATCCAATACATAAAGAAATGCCAACCAGAATCCTTCAACAAAACGCATTCTTATTATACATATCTGACCCACATCTTTGCCTATGTAATCATTACAACTGAAGATAAAAGTTCTCATAAATCTTCATTGAAAATCTAATGAAAAACCTTTTTTTGGTGAAGAACTACCTCCTCAATTATGAAAAACAGAAAATAGTCAGTCACTGCATTTTTACACCAGAAGCACAGGAACTCCTGATTTTCCTCCACCAGTAACATAGTACGAATTTGCTTTTAAAAATTTCAAAAAAAAGGAAAGTTTAGCAGCAATGACAGTTGCACACTTTATTAAATCGGAAACAGAAGACAATGTTAAACTCCTTTAGGGGTCTACCTGCTCTTGCCAGCTTTAGGACACTACTCTAAGCCAGTTGAAGCCAATTGGGTAGTTGGGCCTTCTACAGCAGCTGAGATCTGAATATGAGGACTATGGTGGTATTAAGGCAGACAAGAACAGTACAACTACACTTATCAATCTAGCTGTTTGTCTTAGGAGAGGGAGAGAGAGAGAGAGAGAGAGAGAGAGAGAGAGAGAGAGAGAGAGAGAGAGAGAGAGAGAGAGAGAGAGAGAGAGAGAGAGAGAGAGAGAAAGAAATAGGAGCATTTTCACAAGCCTTTGGTCATCTATCTGTGGAATTAGAGACAGCTGGTTTCATTTTTTAACTAATATTTTTGTTAGTAGCTTATTTTGTGATATTTCTAGGGGTCGTCCTTGTATCTTTTAACTTGTATCTAATACATCTCTCTTTTCTTTACATGGATGGCACCTCATTGGTGCCTAATGACTTGTGAATATTACTAGTTTGTTTTTTTCCAAAAATATCACATACATATGGCAGATATTTGTTTCACTTTTATAGTGTTTGGTTGTCAGAGAATGGGGGGAAATTTAAGGAAAAGGAATTTTTTCACTTTTATTTGAATATTGTTAAATAAGGGGAAGGAAAATGGAGGGGTCCACAGGATTTTTATGGTTCCTTTCAGTTCCTCAATTTTAGTTTCCTTAAATTGGGTGAAAATGGCGAGAAATGATCTCCTTTTTGAATTTGCTTTTGGTAAAAGGACTATCATACTTATACCTGAGTTCCAACTAAAACATGAGAAATGATCTCCTTTTATACCTGAGTTCCAACTAAAATGGGTCAAACCAACAACCCTCAAAGGAAGCACTCTGCCATTGAGCCAAAAGGCTTAGGGAGAGGAGCTTCAAGACGTTAATGAACATTCAGAAGGAAAAAAAACAAAACCAAAAACAAGATCTACACTAAATATAAAAAATTCTTGTTGGGAAAAGGTAAGAAATGAGAAATAGTTCAAGTATAAAGTTTCACATTGACATGAGTAACAAATGCAACAGGGAATAGAGAAAACCAAATGATACCTGTTCAAAGCTGTAAGATGGTAAATTATAGCATGAATGAAGGAAGCAATATTAATTCATCATGGAAATGCAACATTTGGTGGGAAATCCATCATACCTTATGGAAAATTTCAGACACAGGACCATCATTTTCAGATGCAACAAGTTCCTGCTTGACCTTTTCCAATCCCTTGATTATAGCTTGCATTTCTTCCGCTAAAGACTTCAATTGTATCTGGAAGTAAACAACAAATATAATGTACACTTTTTCGAGAGAAATAAGCATCATGTAACTTATTATCGACAATAAAGGACACATTAAAAGCAGTTGAAAACCTTGGATGCAGCTTCAAGGCTGACAAGATCATGGTGGAAATCCAATAAAGCTGGTGCCTTTGCAGCAAGTACCTGAGGCCATTTGAAAAATGAAGTTTGAGAATCAAGTTAACATTTAAATCTAGAAAAGTAAAGGAATCAACATATATAGAGAACAAGGAAACCAATCTGGCAATTTAACCATTTATTATTTTTTTCTTTAAAAAAGACTACCAGTCCTGATCGATAGAGCACCACTTAACAATCAAAACCATATTGCAAAGGCAACTTCAAATTTAAAGCAAATCTGGACATTCCTTTTTACAGATCCAGCATGGAGACTCAAAGTCAGACAAACTGATGTAGGATCAGTAAGCAGGTCAAGATAACACATGCTAAAAGAATAAATGAAGGGAGAGAAAAAGAAGAACGGAGAAAGAAATTGAAAGGTTAAAGAAAAAAGGAGAAGGCAAACAGGAAACAATATGGAAAAAAGAGCAGATGAGAAATAAGATGAAGAGCACAGATACTGAGAGATGAATTAAGAAAATGTTATCATCAAAAGCAGCTCTAAACTAAACTGAACTAGCCACTATAGGTACACTAATGATTTATATGCGAACCAATCACAACTGAATGGGGAGATAAAAATAAAAAACAAATCTAGATCCTAATCAATGGATCCGAATTCCTAATTTCCTAAACTAAACTTAAAATATAAAATATGATAAATACTTGAGTTTTGCCTTTCATGTACGACTCCTTGCCACTTGAGGACATATTACAAATTTTGTTTCCAGAGTAGCAAAGGTGGGTACAAAACATTTTTCCTGCAAAGCATGCCTTGGCGTAATATACAACCTCAAAAATCCACAAAGGTGACTGAAATTCCTCAGGAGGAACAACAGATATGAAATAGCATTTTAATTGCTGGAAAAGAAATATCAGAAAGCCAAGAAACAAAAGCTGCAGACAGCTGCTAACAAAGAGAACAGTTTTATGCACACATTTCTAAGGCAAGATAGCAAACCAAGCCTGTCTTTTAGCATCTAAAGAGAAAACCGAGCCCACACACTGAGCTGATCCAACCTCTATTTATGCATCCATGGATGGGCAGTAACGCTCATAGGATTAGGACATTACCAGGCATGAACTCCAAAATCATAGATTACCAATCTTAGGTCTCCCTAATGACATTTCTAATACTTAGGATTTCAAATTAATGAACTTAAGCACTATAAAGCATATAAATGTGTGCGCCCATGCGCCAGAGACGACGAGCATAACTCTTAATCTAAGATACAACCTTTCAAAGGTTCTTAGATGTGTATTGAAAACCATGTTAATTCCAACTGTTATAAGGTTATTGCATGAACCAGATCCTGAATTGAAACCCTTCTAAAAGGAACCTCTGCTCTAGTTATATACCTTGCAAAGGTAATGCATGAGCGTCATTTTGCTGTTTGAAGCACGTGTATCCGTGAGTTTCAAAAGACTGTCCAGCTTAAACCCAATTGCAGAGCCTGTCAAACTGGAAATCATTAAAACTGCATATCTGGGCATAAAGGAGCCAGGAAAACTCTTTCACTCGCATCATTTATGATGTTAAGTGAAACTTAAATAAAAATTAAGATCTTACAAAAAACCATGCAAAAATAAGGGGTCGAAAGAAAGTGAAGGAAATATGGTTTTGTATGGAAAATAAAGAATATAACAGCTGACAGCTGATAAATTTAAACCACTTAGAGTGTCAGAGAATATCTTGACCGTATTAGAGCACCAGTTAACAAGTATAAAAAGACAGTTGACTGTATCCTGAAACCAACCTATGTAATCTCCGACGGAATAATTCGGAACATGCAGTAGTATCATTATGGTTTTAAATCGTACCAACTAGCCATCTATAAGATAAAAACAATTAAGCATTATTCCTACAAAAGCCATTGTTGCTTCCCCCTGTTTTATAAGAAGACAAGTTAATCTGAAGTCCTGCCTACAAACCATCAAATAAAGTACTAAAGATGGTATTGGAAAGAAACAAGCAGACACCAACTCTAAATTTTTGATGCTCCATCTTCCATTTACTTATATCAGAATAACAAGATATATCAATTTGGCAAGCATTCTAAACTATTAAGATGATACTTACCCCTTGCAGTTCCTTGGTTCAATGTATTGCCCAAATAAAGAATTTTTTTCATGATTTCTTTCAATTTTTGAGAGTTCCGAACCTAGTAAACAAGCAAGAAAGAAACACGACAGCATAAAAAGAAATGTTTGACCATAAAAAAGGTTTTTTCTTTTCTTTTGTTTTAAGTATAGAAGAACTTATTGCATTGGCACTGTACCTCTTCACATGCTGAATTCACAGTATTTAAATTCTTCTTGAAGTCTGATATCTGAATGGGAAAAGGGGTTCAGAAGCAAAACAAGGGAATAGATAACGTTATCACGAAACTCTTTTGTTGGTGGGAATGGATTAAAAAAAACCTAATGTCGGAAAACAAAAAATTCATTAAATTCAGACTAACAATGGAGATACCGCCAAACCTGAGAGCCGAACTGAATCTTGAAAGAAAATACTCTTAGTTTGGATTCAACTCGCGGCACCTTCATCAGCTCCAGAAAGTACTGAATAGAAAAATCATACAATAAGTGAACTATATATTTATAATAAATAATGTTTAGCTATGAATTCAAATAACCTAACATATTGAAATATGCAAGCATTTCCTGAAAATCATGCAAACCATGCTATAACAATCAACTGGAAATGACTAAATGATTCCATTTGACTGTAAAATCTTTAAAGTTAAGTTCGACAAAATGATATGTACGCACATGCATGCATACATATATATATAATCATCATGAACAGCAATGTCAGTTTACACTGAAATGTCCATGATAACAATAAAATCAGCTCAAACTTCGGAAACTCCCTGAACTAGTCATGGTTCAATTTGCCATCCCAGACTTTTTCTAGCCCAAATAAGTCCGCACCGTCCATACTGGCATATCTTTGACACATATCAACCACATAAAACAAGGATTAACTAACCAAAAACAGGGAAAAAAAAGGAGATAAATTTCAGTTGCATCAATATCAAAGTAGGATATTGTCTAGTAATATAACAGAGTTGAAGTGCATCTAACTCCTGGTGAAAAGCTTTTGATAAGAGTTTTTTGAGATTTTGAGATCCTTCCCATCATTGATAAGGCTGAGATGCTTCTTCCTGCCACTGATGCCCTTCCATGCTCAAATTTCCTCCCTCAACAAGCTGGTCATTACCCAATTAATGCCCAAGATGCCCTTAACGAGAGTCTATAATCTGTAGGCAAAGTGACACCTCAGAAGAATATGATTGCACACTTCACATTCTCTTTACACAAGTAATATCCATCCACTATAATCTTTCCCCTTTTAATCAGCTTATCAGAGTTAGAATACACCCTCTAATTGCCTCCCATATAAAAAAAAGAAATTATGGGCAAAGCATTAACCTTCCGGATTTGCTTGGAAGGAAATTCTCTAAGCTATGATCTCCCTTCTTTTCAAGTAAGTGCAAAAAGATCTAACAGAGAACAGCAGATAATTTTCTAGCTATGATCTTTCTTGGATTTATGCCATTGCTCTGTCCCACCCGGTCTAGCCTGGCAAGAGTGAACAGCAAGACTTCATACACCACAATTTTCCAATCATTAAAATTCCTTATGACCTTCACAAAATACTCCACAGTCTCCACATTGCTAATGTAGGAATCCTGTATCAACGTATCCTTGTACCGAGCAATGACATAAATTCGAGGAAACTGGTCTCCGAGGGTACCACCCTCCAACCACACATCATGGGATAAACTGACCTTATCGCAGTTCATCTCTATCTGATGTAGTCTGACTTCTGTCATGCAACTTTCTTCCACATTCCATTA